TCTGGTTTACCAACGAATCCTGGCAGACAGTGACAGATGAAGCCGGCGGCCACATCATAACTGAAGTCAGCAGTGCTGAGTTCAGGGAGCTTTCTGTAGTTCACGACATCTGAGCGCTGAAAACACTTGCCACCATTGTGACAGGGATGCTGCTCACACTCATCTATATCCAGCTGGCAGTTGTCTCCCTCGTAACCTGGTTGCACATAAACACAAATACATTATATACTTATTCTTATAATAATATTCAGTCTGTCAACATACTTACATGGTCGTGAGAACATTTTGCTATATTGTCTTAGTCCTACAATAACTACAAAATAAGAAATATTCAAATATTAAATATATTAAAAATACTTTCTGAGGAGGATCAAATGTAACTAAAATAAACATTTTAATAAAATATTCAAGCCCCCCAAGACTTTTTCTGTTTCTTTAGTTGCTACCCAGAACTGTTTCTTTCTTTAGCAGGACATCGTTTCCACTTTAACCTCCTTCCATTAGATATGAGATTGATTGTTTCTGTGCAATCAAACAGAACACGGTGCCAGCATGTCAGTGTTTTAAGTGAGCAATGCAAAGTTAGAAATAATCTCTGAATTTGTTGTTCAGAAGCTGATGTGATGCGTCCAACACAACAGCATTAAAAAGCATATTTACTGCAAACTGCAATACGCTAACATCTGAATATACAGAATCCACTCAGGATGAACTACTCACCTGTGATTAACAGCATTAACAAATGTTAGTAGGGGTTAAACTAGATGTGGCACATTTTGTCATGTTGGGCTTGTTAACTGCTAAAATTGAGATAATACAGACTCAAAGCAGCAAACATGACTGCACATTCATGTTTTATTAGGTGTGACTCAGTAGGAACAAAAGACATGTATTTAATATATTTTAATTTAAGTGTTTAAAACAAACAAACATCTGTTAGGAAATCTACGCTTGTTCAAAGTGAAAGTTTTTTTTAAGCTGCATTATTGTTACAGAGAAGACCCACTTCAAAATGTATTGAAATGAAAATAACTGCAAATTACTGTACCCCTTATTCTAACCTAAGACAACACAAAATGTAAGATTAATAATCTCTGTGATCCAAAAGTCTGCTGTAAA